TTAATCCACTTACATTTAAGGATTAGTTATAAGTAAGGTCTTACTACTGCCATTTTGCTTCTTGTTTTCTAGTTCTATTGTAGTTCTTTTCTTTTTCCTCCCTTACGATCTTCCTTTGTTAAGTCTTTTATTCTTGTAGGTATGATTTGACTCCTTGCTTATGTATTTTTTCAGGAATAGCCTTCTTTTATTTTGTGCTTAGAGAAACAGAGGAAGATAGTTGGTGTCAACTAGCCCAATGTTGTTTTTTTGAAATGGAGGCTATGTGCATAAGGGAGAAGTGCAGAACCTGACAATTTGCATTTCTCATCAGGGATGGATCAGTGTATAAAGTACGCAGATCATCAGTAGGTTGACGTGAGGTATTGGGTGGAAAGATAACTTTTTAAAGATTAGAAAGGCAGGAGCCAGAGTTGTGACACATGGGCTTGGGCCACCAGCTTCTCATGTGAGCACAGGTTCGAGTCCCGGCTGCTCTGCTTCTGATCTGGCTCCCTGCTGATGCACCTGGGAAAGGAATGGAGGATGCCCAGGTGCTTAGACCCCTGCACCCGGGCTGGAGACCTGGAAGGAGTTCCAGGCTCCTGGCTTCAATCTGGCCCAGCCTGGCTGTTGGCAGCCATCTGCGAAGTGAACAGCGGATGGAAGATGTCTCTCTGTCTCAGCTGTTGCAGCCATTTGTGAAGTGAACCAGTGGATGGAAGATTCTCATTCTCTCTCTCTCTCTCTCTCTATCTCTATCTCTATCTCTATCTCTATCTCTATCTCTATCTCTATCTCTCTATCTCTCTATCTCTATCTCTATCTCTTTGTAACTGCCTTTCAAGTAAAATAGATGAATCTTAAAATAAATAGTAAGCGAGGCCGGCGCTGTAATGCATTAGGTTAATCCTCCGCCTGCAGCACCGGCATCCCATATGGGCGCCAGTTCTAGTCCCGGTTGCTCCTCTTCAGTCTGGCTTTCTGCTATGGCCAGGGAAAGCAGTAGAGGATGGCCCAAGTGTTTGGGTCCCTGCACTCACATGGGAGACCATGAGGAAGCACCTGGCTCCTGGCTTCGGATCAGCGTAGCTCTGGCCATTGCAGCCACTTGGGGAGTGAACCAACGGAAGGAAGACCTTTCTCTCTCTCTCTCGCTCTCTCTCCCTCTCCCTCTCCCTCTCTCTCACTGTCTGTAGCTCTGCCTGTCTTAAATAAAAATCTTTAAAAAAAAAAAAAAGTGAGACTAGAAAGGGACATTTTGCAGGGCTCTCAGAGTGCAAAGTTCCTTCCTCAACTTAGGTGGTAGCTATAAGTGAGCTTACCTTATAACAATTTTAAACTATGCATTTATTTTGAGTGCCTTTTTGTTTTTCTTAATTTTTATCCGTAACAGCCAGGGCTGAACTGAGCCAAAGCTCAGAGCTGGGAATGCCGTCCATATCTCCCACAAAGGAGGCCAGAACCCGGTTACCTGAGCCGTCACTGCTGCCTCCCCGGGTGTGCATTACCAGAAAGCTGGGGTCAGGAGCCACAGCCCGGAACTGGACCCATGCACTCCACTGTGAGACAGGGCTTCCTAACTGGAGACCCAACTGCTAGGCCAACCCCTGTGTGACTTTGTTTGTCTGTGTTTTATTGTACACTGGAAGAGTTTATTTAAAAAAAAAAAACTATGCAAAAAATCTACTTTCAGGTAGGATGTAGTAGATAGCAACAGCCATCACTCTCAATCCAACAACTAGGAAAGAAAGACAAATTACAAAATACATTGAAGAGATCAGAGATGTGTGGGAGTAGTGAGATGTAGATGAACTACAGCGAAAGTCCATTGAGAAGAGAGCCCCTGCCATGTGACCTGGGATCATAGGCTATTTTCTTCCCTGGAGACAATTTCCAAATCTGAACATGGGTTGAATAGTGGGCGGGGTCTATGCAGAGGGCTTCTGTTGGAGGAAGGATGAATCAGGGAAGCCATTGCTAGTATGTAAGTGGTGCAACAGGCGGAATCTAGAACAGTTGCAAATGTACAACTTTCTCCCTACAGGGACATTTGCTGATTGGCAGCAGGATGGGGAGGGGTGTGCAGAGAAGGCTAAAGACCAGGTGGAAAGGCAGAGTGAAAGCTCATGCGGTCTCTGCTTAGAAGACCAAGACCTGCTATGGCAGGAGGCCTGCATTTGAGATATGTGAGCCTGACTAAAGCCCAATCCCTCAGTGAATGGAGGTAATGCACCTTTCATCCTGTCTGTCTAATCCTCAAAAGAACAGGAGGGCAGGGGAGATACACCAGCTTCAGTTTCTAGGATCCTGTTCTTTATAATAATGTCACACATACATAAGAAGCATGAGCCATCTGAAGAAACGGAAAATGTGGCCAGTAATTGAGAGGAAAAGTAGACAGTAGAAGCAGTCTTAGAACTGCTCCACATTTGGAGTTAAGACTTTAAAATAAGTGTAATAGATATATTAAATAAAAATAGAGGAAAAGATCAACAAATGGAAAAATAAGAAGCAGGTATACATTGTAAAAATGAACTGTCTACAACCAAGAACTTGCTGGATAAGATTAAGGAAGAACTGGGGGCAGGCATTTAGCCTGGCAGTTCAGATGCCTGTGTCCTACGTACAGCACAGCTACTGATTCCAGCTTTCTGTGAGTCCAGACCCTAATGAGGCAGCAGTGATGGCTCAAGTACCTAGGCCCCTGCCACCCACGTGGGAGACCTGGATAGTGTTCTAGCTCCCTGCTTTGGCCCGGCGTAGCCCAACCCTTGTGGGCATTTGGGGAGTGAACCAATAGATGGGAGCTCACCTGCGCATGCATGCATACTCTCTCTCTCTCTCTCTCTCTCTCTCTCTCCCCTCCCTCTGTCTCTCTCTCTCTCTAATAAATACTAATTTTTTTAAGTGTACTAGACACAGGGGAGACAGAGTTAGTGAACTCAAAGATCAATAGAAGACTTCAATTTTTTTGAAGTTTATTTAATATATTTAGTGAACTTTATTTACAAGTTTTCAAAATAATGAATTCTTTACACATGATCTTCCAAAGACAACCAGTTAGGGTTCTTAGGGGAGCTGAGGGTGACTTGCTGCACAACAGCAGACAACTAAACTCTGGTACTGTTACCCCAGGAACTCAGAGGATTTGCCCCACACAACTGTGACTAAGATCTCCAAGAGGCACAAGCATAGCAATTGAAATTAGCTGGCCTGGGCTTTGCAGACGTGGTTGTCACCCACAGCTGCTCACCATCAGCTGTGTTCTTCGACACGACATTGCCATTGACAGCCAGCCTTTGGGCTGCATCTCCTTTGGGCTCTTTGCAGACAGAGTTCCAAAGACAGCAGAAAACTTCTGTGCTCTGAGTTCCGGAGAGAAAGGATTTGGTTACAAGGGTTCCTGCTTTCAGAGAATTATTCCAGGGTTTATGTGACAGGGTGGCAACTTAACATGCTACAATGGCATGGGAGCAACTCCATCTATGGAGAGAAGCTTGATGAGGAAAACTTCCCTCTGGGGGCTGGCGCTGTGGCATAGCGGGTAAAACCGTCGCTTGCAGAGCCAGCATCCCATCTGGGCACCAGTTCAAGTCCCAGCTGCTCCACTTCCAGTCCAGCTCTCTGCTATGGCCTGGGAAAGCAGTGGAAGATGGCCCAAGTCCTTGGGCCCCTGCATCCATGTGGGAGCCCCAGAAGAAGCTCCTGGCTGTGGCCTTTGCAGCCATTTGGGGGAGGGGAGTGAACGAGTGGATGGAAGACCTTTCTCTTTCTCTCTGTCTCTGCCTCTGCCTCTATAACCAAGCCTTTCAAATAAATAAACAAATCTTTTAAAAAAGAAAACTTCTAAAGCATATAAGTCTTGGCACCTTGTCCATGGCAAATGCCGAACACAACACAAATGGTTCCCAGCTTTTTCATCTGCACTGCCAAGACTGAGTGGTTGGATGGCAGGTGTGTGGTCTTTGGCAGAGTGAAAGAAGGCATGAATATTGTGGAAGCCACGAAGCACCTTGGGTCTGAGAATGGCAAGACCAGCAGGAAGATCACCATTGCCAGCTGTGGACAACTCTGATCTTAGAATTTTTTTTTTTTTTTTGACAGGCGGAGTGGACAGTGAGAGAGACAGAGAGAAAGGTCTTCCTTTTGCCGTTGGTTCACCCTCCAATGGCCGCCGCGGCCAGTGCACTGTGGCTGGCGCACCGCGCTGATCCGATGGCAGGAGCCAGGTACTTATCCTGGTCTCCCATGGGGTGCAGGGCCCAAGCACTTGGGCCATCCTCCACTGCACTCCCTGGCCACAGCAGAGAGCTGGCCTGGAAGAGGGGCAACCGGGACAGGATCCAGCGCCCCGACCGGGACTAGAACCCGGTGTGCCGGCGTCGCAAGGCAGAGGATTAGCCTAGTGAGCCGTGGCGCCGGCCAGACAACTCTGATCTTAACCAGCAGAGTACTGCTGTAGCTCAGGAGGGCACCCTGCATCCCATCTGCTCGTGATGCCCGTCACTGTGCTCTCCCTACAGTTCTTTGGGTTCCATGTTTTCCTTACTTCCCCTCCAAGTCTAACGGGATTGCAGAGCTAAAAGTTATGATTGACAAAATAAAAACAAGAAATTAACTGGCATGGTCAGAGTGAAGGGCTATTGCTGAAACAGTGCTGACTGGGTCGGCAGGGGAACAAGAAGGAGCGGGACCTTTTCCCTCTCTAGACCCCCAGGGTCTCTAGTCCTGCCCTTTGGCACCGTCTAACAGAGACAGCAGGCAAAAGAGAAATACAGCGTTCAGAGTTCCAGCTCTAACATCGTAGCTCTGAGTGCAGAAAGTAACTTAGCAACTGAAGCAGGCATAAATTCTAAGGCTTTTTCCTCCCTCATAACTAAGTAAAATACCTTACAGTCTCACTGTGCATTTGACGATAGTGAGTGGATTATCCAGTGTATCTTTAGAGTGATTTAAGATCTTAGGAAAAAGGCTTCATTTAATAAGAACACGCCCACAGTCTGGTTTCTCTCGCGCAGGTATGATCCAAAGGAGAACAAGTGGACTCGTGTGGCTTCCATGAGCACCAGGAGACTAGGCGTGGCCGTGGCTGTGTTGGGAGGGTTCTTATATGCAGTAGGTGGCTCTGATGGGACATCTCCACTCAACACAGGTTAGTCCCTCCCAGAACTTTGTGGTTTCCCAGAAGCAGCAGGTTCTGAGGAGAGTCCACCTTCAAAAGGTATAAAAAGTTCAGGTCATGCTGTAATTTATTAGAAAAAGGTTTATTTTCCCCCTAAGAAAGTGTAACGCATCTCTCTCTGCAGCCATATTCTTTTAGTACAGTCCCAAAATATTTATTTTTCTTCTACTATGTAAGCGTCTAGAAATTTTTAATGAAAATAGAACTGCTTTCTGAACATGATTACTTCCCTTCCCATCACTACCTCCCCATGACAAAAAGTACTTTATATTATGATCTAAAATAGAAACTTGGAACTAGAAGCTGGCATGTTTGTTCATTCTTTCTGTTTAGAGAGAATGGGTATTTTAGCCTAAAGATAGTGTATGACTCATTGCTACCTATCTTGTCCTCTCTAGTGGTTTGAACTGCACGAGGTCATGGGCAGGGGACTCTAGGAGTACAGAAAATATCTCTTGTGATAGCGTTATCTGTCCTGAATGGTGCTTGGGGATCAGACAGTCCAGTCTCCCCACTTAAAGACAGAAAGAGTAAGGATGGTCACATCTCTGTGCTCCAATACCTGCCCTTTCCACCACACCATACCTAAGAGAAACTAGTCCTGATGACAGTGTAATCTAGGATTGCCCAGAGATACACAAGTCCTCTCAGAAGCAGAATTCATATTGCTGACTGTAAGTACGTGTCATCACGAGTTTCGATGACTTTGACGAACCTGGGAGAGGAAGTGGCTGACTGCTCAGGTACTTGCTTTTCTTCTCCCTGCAGTGGAGCGCTACAGTCCTCAGGAGAACAGATGGCACACCATAGCCCCCACGGGGACCCGGAGGAAGCACCTCAGCTGTGCAGTGTACCAGGACATGATCTACGCTGTTGGTGGTAGAGATGACACCACAGAGCTTAGCAGTGCTGAGAGATACAACCCTAGAATGAACCAGTGGTCTCCAGTGGTGGCCATGACATCCCGCCAGAGTGGAGTGAGTGCCCAACTACTGAGAGCTTTGAAAACAATCCCTCTCTGCCTCTCAAATAAATAAATAAATCTTAAAAAAAATGGGTGTGGGCAGTAAAGAGACTGCCAGAGACAGCCACAGTAAATAAGCTCAGGCGTGAAGGCAGACAGAAGACACTAGCCAGGGAACAGTGTGCAGAAGCACAGAGGTGTGAGGAGAGGTGGTCAGCCCAGCACTACTGAATTACAGGTGCATTAGCAGGGAAAAGAGAAAAGCCAGGAGGTGAGGCTAAACGGTGGGCTACAGGCTCCTGAAGGGCCTGAGAACATATTAAGGACTTTAAATTTCCCCATAGGTAGTAGGGAGGCCTAGAAGGCTTTTAAAGGGGAAAGTGACATGATTAGATTTGTTTTTTTTTTTTTTTTGAAGATTTATTTTGAAAGTTTTCTCTCTCTCTGTGTGTGTCTAACTCTGCCTATCCAAAAAAAAAATTATTTTGAAAGTTAGAATTAGAGATCTTCTATCCACTGGCTGACCCCCCCCCCCCAGATGTCCACAACAGCCAGGGCTGGGCCAGGCTGAAGCCAGGGTAGCAGAGGCCCAAGCATGTGGGCATCTCTGCCACTTTTCCCAAGCCATTAGCAGGGGACTGGATAAGCAGTGGAAATGGGACATGAACTGGTGCCCACGTGGGATACCAGTGTTGCAGATGGCGGCTTAACCTGGACACCACATGCCCATCCCACAGATTTGTATTTTTTAAAGAGATTTTTAGTGGCAACTTAGAAAGTGAATTCAAGCAGGCAAAACCCAGAGAAAGTGAGAGCAGTTTGGAAGTTCTTTCTCATTTTTGGTGAATGCTTTTTCTTAAGTTTAAGAACTCTATGTTTTGGACTCTAAGTATTCTCATTGATGGGCTGATGATGTGGTGCAGCAGGTTAAGCCACTACCTGCGTGGGTACCAGTTCATGTTCTGGCTGCTCCACTTCTGATCTACCTCTCTGCTAGTGCACATGGAAAAGCAGTTAAAGATGACCCAAGTACATGGGCCCCTGAACACACATGGGAGACTTAGATGGAGTTCCATACTCAGCTTTGGCCTGGCCCAGTCATGGCTTTTGCAATCATTTGGGGAGTGAACCAGTAGATGGCAGATCTCTCTTCCTCTCCTTCTCTGTAACTCTGCCTTTCATATAGATAAATATTTTTTTAAGATTTTATTTATTTATTTGAGAGGTAGAGTTACAGACAGTAAGAGGAAGAGGCAGAGAGAAAGGTTTTCCTTCCATTGATTCACTCCCCAAATGACCGCAATGGCCGGAGCTGCACCGATCTGAAGCCAGGAGCCAGGAGCCAGGAGCCAGGAGCCTCTTCCAGGTCTTCCACATGGATACAGGGGCCCAATCACTTGGGCCATCTTCTACTGCTTTCTCAGGCCACAGCAGAGAGCTGGATTGGAAGAGGAGCAGCCAGGACTAGAACTGGTGCCCATATGGGATGCTGGTGCCACAGATAGAGGGTTAACCTACTGCACCACTGCACCAGCCCCAATAAATAAACCTTTTAAAAATATATATTCTCATTGAACTATAAAATTTTATAGTTCCCATAATTTCATATTTTTATATTACTTTTTCCCTCTGTGTTCAAGTAAATTGGAATGTAAGACTTTAAGTTTTATTATCTTTTATTAGATGTATCTAGAAACCAGTCTAAAATTCCCCATAATTGTCCAGTCTCTTCAGCAATACCTGTGCTTTGGTCCTCTAGGTTGGCCTGGCAGTGGTCAATGGACAGCTCATGGCAGTAGGATGTTTTGACGGCACAACATACTTGAAGACCATTGAAGTTTTCGATCCTGATGCAAACACATGGAGGTAACCTCTAAGCTGTGCTGCAGATCACCTCACCACTGACTGGGAAACCATGGGCTGAGATGGCCCACGACCATCAACACGAAGATGGTCCACACACTGGTGTGCTTTAAAGAGAGCTGACACGCCATATTCAGTGGTTCCCTTTGGCTTGATTGCTCGGAAGGGGCTGGTGTCTTGGAAAAGTCTTCTCTTTGCTAACTGTCTAGTTTTGTAACTAGAAACCAGAAAAGCAGGAGGAAAAAAAATAAATCTCCTTTCTAGCCCCATTCTATTCAGCTGAGGAAAGTAAAGTACCAAGAAATACAGTGACTTCCTAAGCAAAGTAGTGATGGAGTCAGAATTTAAATCTAGGTCTTTGGCTCCAAATCTGTCAGCACAGTTTTGCAGTGTTTTTGTGGGAAATGCTATGCCCACAAAAACAAATTACAGTTATTTTTTTAAAATGATATTTTATCTCACTTTAAAACCTATTTTGGGGGCAGGCATTTGGCACAGTGGCTAAGAAGCCACTTGGGGGGAGGAGGGTGCGTCCTTGCAGCACAGTGGAAAAAACCACTACCTGCAACGCCAACATCACATACTGGAGCACTGCATCAAGTCCCAGCTGCTCTGCTTTTTTTTTTTTTTAAAGATAGATTTATTTTTTATTGAAAGTCAGAGATACACAGAGAGAAGAGAGGGAGGGAGGGAGGGAGGGAGAGAGAGAGAGAGAGAGAGAGGTCTTCCATCCACTGGTTCACTCCCCAAATGGCCGCAATGACCAGAGCTGCACCGATCCGAAGCCAGGAGCCAGGAGCCTCTCTGGGTCTCCCACGTGGGTGCAGGGGCCCAAGGACCTGGGCCATCTTCCACTGCTTTCCCAGGCCATAGCAGAGAGCCGGATCGGAAATGGAGCAGCCGGGTCTCGAACCAGCACCCACATGGGATGCCAGCACTGCAGGCCAGGGCATCAACCCACTGCATCACAGCGCCAGCCTCAATACTCTATCTTTCAAATAAACAAAATGTTTAAAAGATAAATTCAGAGATAAAGTTCAACAAACTCACAATAGTTTTTATTAAATTTGAAAATGAACTATATATTTGGCATTTTAGAGCATCTATCAAATTAGTCCTGGGAGTCTGTTATAACTGAGTAAAGATTTAGACTTGATGATTTTAACTTTAAAGATTTAAGAGGGGGCCTGCACTGTGGCTCATTTGATAATCCTCCATCTGCGGCACCGGCATCCCATATGGGCGCCAGGTTCTAGTCCCGGTTGCTCCTCTTCCAGTCCAGCTCTCTGCTGTGGCCCGGGAAGGCAGTGGAGGATGGCCCAGGTGCTTGGGCCCCTGCACCTGCATGGGAGACCAGGAGGAAGCACCTGGCTCCTGGCTTTGGATCAGCACGGCACCGGCCATTGTGGCCATTTGGGGAGTGAACCAACGGAAGGAAGACCTTTCTCTCTGTCTCTGTCTCTCTCACTGTCTGTAACTCTACCTGTCAAATAAATAAATAAATAAAAATTTTTAAAAAAGAATTATATTTTATTATTTGAAAGGCAGAGTGACAAAGAGGGAGAGACAGAGAACAGGATCTTCCACCTGCTGGTTCACTACGCAAATGGCCACAACAGCCAGGGGCGGGGCCAGGCCAAAGCCAGGAGTCAGGAGCTCCATCCAGGTCTCCACATGGGTGATGCAGGGGACCAAGGACTTGGGCCATCTTCTGTTCCCTTCCCAAGGCACATTAGCAGGGGACTGGATTGAAGCCAAGCGCCTGGAGCTCAAACCCGTGCTCCAGTATGAGATGCCAGCCTCATAGGCAGCAGCTGAACCCACTGTGCTACAATGCTGGCTCCTCCTGCTATATTCTAGTAGAACAATTCCTAATTTTCAGCTGAAGCTACCCTCCCAGACTTTTTTGTCACCTTGTTAGATTCACCTTGTGAATTTATTGAGTCCTCTGTATATTCATCCATGAGAAAGCCACAGCACTTACATTTTTATCGATGACTGGATTGTGCATGGCTCGGTATTGCTCAGCAGTTGTCACAACACTAAAGTCAGGCTCATGGGCTGGTGCTGTGGTGTATCTGGTTAAGCAACTGCTTACAGTGCCAGTATCCCATGTGGACACCGGTTTGAGTCCCAGCTGCTCTACTTCCAATCCAGCTCCCTGCTAATGTGCCTGGGAAAGCAGCAGAGGATGGCCCAAGTTCTTGGGCCCCTGCTCCTACATGGAGACCCAAAAGAAGCTCCTGGCTCCTAGCTTCAGGTTGGCCCAGCTCTGGCCACTGCAGCCATTTAGGGAGTGAACCAACAGATGGAAGACCTCTCTCTGTGTCTCTCCTCTCTGTAACTCTGACTTTCAAATAAGTAAGTCCTTAAAAATAAACAAATACAAATAAAAAATAAAGTCAGGCTCAGGAAAACATACTAGTTTTTTTAAAGGTTGATTTTATCTGTTTGAAAGAGTGAGACAGGGAGAGACAGAGAGAGAGATCTCCTGTCTTCTGGCTCACTCCCCTAATAGCCATAAAGACTGGTGCTAGCCAGGCCAAAGCCAGGAGCGAGAAACTCCATCCTGGTCTCCCATGCAGATTTCAGAGACCCAAGTCCTTGGACCAACTTGTGCTGACTTCCAAGCGCATTAGCAGGAAGCTGGATCAAAAGCAGGGCAGCTGTGGCTCCAACTGGCACTGTGATAATGGGATGCCAGTATCACAAGCAGTGGCTTAACCCACTGCACCACACAGTCTGCCCCAACATATACTTCTTGCTCCTACATCTCATCTTGACTGAGTGTTCTAGGCTCTGAAGATACAGAGGTGAATAAAACAAAACTTCCCTGCCCTACTGTAGTTGGCATTGTAGGGAAGAAGGCACAGGTTTCTATACCAAAGAGGTGTAAGTGCTATAGCAAATAGCAAAGCAGCCCAGGGGGTTAGTGAGGAAGGGAAGGAGCGTCTGCTGAAGGCAGTCAAGGAAGGTCTCACTGAAAACCGAATAGAGGGAAATGACAGATTACGGCAGGTTTTGATTAATAGGAGCCTCCCACTTGTGGGATATTTTCTCCCATATACAGCTATTTTTGGTGGGAATTTGAGTCAGCATCATTTGGGAAGACAGCTAAATTTATTGCTGCCATTTCATTATTATAATCCTATGTATGGACTTGTTTCTCAGTAACTGTCACTAAATAGGATTAGCAGTGGTGCCGGCACTGTGGCATAGCTGGTAAAGCTACCACCTGCAACACAGGCATCCCATATGGGCTCCTGTTCTTGTCCCAGCTACTCCACTTCTGATTCAGCTCTCTGCTTATGGCCTGGGAAAAGCAGCAGAAGATGGCCGAAGTGCTTGGGCTTTTAATTTCTTCATTAAAGAGGAAGAGAAGGGAGTTTTCTTCCATGAGTTCACTCCCCAAATACCCACAGCAACCAGGGGTGAGCCAGGCTGAAACCAGGAGCCAGAAACACGGGAGGGCAGGTAGAGTGGGAACAGTCACTGTGTTCCTAAAGTTATATTTATGGAAGGAATGAAGGCAGGGTTGGTGGGAGGGAGGGAGGGAAGAAGGGAGGGGGTGAGGGAGGGAGACATTCTAGGCCTTCCACATGAGTGGCAGGGACTCAGTTACTAGAACCATCCATCACCTACTACCTTCCAGGGTATACATTAACACTAGGAATCTAGACTCGGGAACAGAGCTGGGGCTTGAATCCAGGAACTTCAGTATGGGATGTGCTTGTCCCAACCATCTTAACCACTAGGCCAAATACATGCCCATTCATGAAATTCTTGAGAATCATCTATTGAGAGATTAATATGCACATTCTTGTAGTTACTTATCCCAAACGTAAGCCCAGTTTTACCTCACACCTGGCTGAAGATCTAGTATTCTCTTGCATAGAAGTCCTTAGTTTTGAATGTGCTTTTGTTCAGGTACCACCAACTAGATGCTCACTTTATTTACTCATGTCTGATTTTGTTCCATAAAGATTTGAGGAGGCTCACATGGCTACATACAAGAAAAGGGGGCAAACGTAAATAAGTGAAGGGGTTTAGCAAAAGGAAAGTGCAGATGAGAAAATAATTGGAGCAAAATTAGACACAAAAACGTTGAACATACGATTTTGCCTAATTGTTAGAAGCCAGTGTAGACATCAAGTTGTCAAATTCTGGGATGGAAAAGTGGTTACTCTCTGTAAGTGAGAACTTTTCAGTTGTTATCTGAAATAATTCTGCTGCCGAGCCTGCTCAAGTCCAGCTTCTGTTCTTTGGAAGAGATGTATGAAACTGAAAATATCACTTGTGTTATAAAACATACAAACATGTCTGATTAACATCTAGTTATAGAAGAAACAGTGTTTTCTCTGAGTGAGAAAATCTGATTTTGTTTCTTTCTTTGCAGGTTATATGGCGGGATGAACTACCGTCGGCTAGGGGGCGGTGTAGGAGTGATTAAAATGACACATTGTGAATCCCATATATGGTGACCATGTAGAAGACAGCCTTGTATACGCTCTGTATTCTGGAGAGCTTTGACTTTGGAGCTTTGTACAGCTTGAGAAGACATTAGAACAAATTTTATTCTTTGCTGGTGCCTCAACATATGGAAATACAAATCCAATGAAAATACTTCACCTGCAAGACGCCACCTTTGCACAAGAATTTTCAGTTCTGTGCAGAATATTTATTTGGGGTTTTAATTTATCTTTTTTTGTTGTTGTTTTTGATCAGTTTGTAAGTTTGTATTTTTTTTTACTATGCTTCCTCCCACAAAAAAAAAAAAAAAAAAAGAAAGAAAGAAAAATTCCCAGCAGCAAAACTTAATTTGTTTTTGAGGTATTGATTTACGTATGGTTGGGGCAGAAGGGCTCTGTACGGTCTGGTGGTTATTCCTGGGCGCCCCATCCACATGACTACTGCTCCCGAGGATTACCAGTGACAAAGACAGGCACGCACAGTGCATTAGCTAGCCATCACTCTTGCACTAAGCACCAGGAGACTTGAAAATCTAAAAAATGAAATAAAAATAGATATCTTATTTCAAATAGCACAATTCAGAAGGAATAAAACCAGGACTCAGCTGTTAGAGCTGTCATCCCTGGACATTCACATCTCGTTTCCTTCTACGTAAGTTTGTTTTCTACTACATTGCAAGTCTTCTAGATCTGCAGCCCTGCTGACTGCCTCTTGGGAGAAGTCTGAGAGTCTCACTTGCTGCTTCCCAGTAGTCATGTATGACTCTCGCAAGAGTTTTTGCTTAAAAATGATCATGACTGAAGCAGCCTTCCCTCCTGTTTCCTTATCGTTACCGAAGGCCCAGAGCAGTGACCTCCCCCAGGCATTGCATTGTACGCAGTCTGCACCCATGCTCAGGCCTCCGGAAGATGAGGCAGGCGCTCTCTCCTTTACTAACAGCGTCCAAGGGAATGATTCTCCAGTCCCTGTGACGATCGTACATGTTAATGAGCGGGAAACCAACTGAGGCATTTTATTAATATTTTGGTTCTTTTATACAAACTGTATCATTTGCATTCTATAAGGCCACTGTTACTGTTTCTTTCAAATTGCACTTACTGATAAAAGTTCAAAATGTTAAGGAAATAAATAATTTCAGTGGTTAAGGTTTTTTTTTCCTCATTGTATTCATAGGCCAGTTTTTTCAACATATTTTGCAGGAAGATCTTTGAATAAGACTTTAACCACAACCAAAAGGAATAACCTTCACCTTCTCCCTCTCCCCTCCCACAGAAATGTTTGGCAAGTTTTGTGTTTACATTTAATGATCATTTGCACCTTTTTCAAAGAAAAAAAATAAGTATTTAGTAAACAGTTGTTTACATGTATCATTTATGCTTTTTTCTAGCATGTATAACTTTTTTAAATAAAGGTAGTATTTACCATAAAAAAATTTTTGGTTAATGCTTTTTAATGCTTGTATCCTTTGATATTTAATTGAGATTTTCTGTTTCTGTATCATTTAAATGGCCTTTACGTAAATTGTAAATGCTTTCAACCTGAGGGAATAAAGGGATTGCCAGCTAGAACTAGGAATTTTTGTTATATATTTTATATATTATCTAACCTATAAACTTATTTTCTGTTGTAGAGCTTAAAAGTAATACAGTTTAGGGCCAGCACCGTGGCTCACTTGGTTAATTCTCTGCCTGCGGTGCCGGCATCCCATATGGGTGCCGGGTTCTAGTCCCGGTTGCTCCTCTTCCAGTCCAGCTCTCTGCTGTGGCCCAGGAGGGCAGTGGAGGATGGCCCAGGTGTTTGGACTCCTGCACCTGCATGGGAGACCAGGAAGAAGCACCTGGCTCCTGGCTTCAGATCGGCGCAGCGCCAGCCATAGCGGCCATTTGTGGGGTTGAACCAATGGAAGGAAGACCTTTCTCTCTGTCTCTCTCTCACTGTCTATATCTCTTCCTGTCAAATAAATAATAAAAAAAGTAATACAGTTTAAATTTTATTTGAAAGGCAGACTTACAGAGAGGGAGAGAGAGAGATCCTCCATCCACTGATGCGCTCCCTAAATGGCTGCAACGGCTGGAGCTGGGCCCATCCAAAGCTGAGAGCCTGGAACCTCCTGGTCTCCCACATGGGTATCCAGGGCCCAAGTACTTGGGCCATCTTCCCCTTCCCTCCCAGGCCACTAGCATGCAGCTGCATTGGAAGTGGAGCAGCCGAGATTTGAACTGGTGCCCATATGGGATGCCAGTATCTCAGGCAGCAGCTTTACCCACTATTCCTTGACAGTGGCCCCAGAATCACAGTTTTGATCTGGAGGGACTCTTAACAGTTCTTCAGATCCAAACCCATTTATTACACTGATTTAAGTATAAAAACAAGGAAATTGCCTAAGACATACTAGGCAATGAATGATGGCACTGCCATTAGAAATCAGTTTCGGGGCCCGGCGCTGTGGTGTAGTAGGTTAATCCTCCACCTGCGGCGCCAGCATCCCATATGGGCACCAGTTCTTGTCCCAGCTGCTCCTCTTCCAGTCCAGCTCTCTGCTACGGCCTGGGAAAGCAGTAGAAGATGGCCCAAGTGCTTGGGCCGCTGTACCCACATGAGACCAGAAAGACGCACCTGACTCCTGGCTTCGGATCGGTGCAGCTCCAGCCGTTGCAGCCATCTGGGGAGTGAACCAGCAGACAGAAGGCCTTTCTGTCTCTCCCTCTTACTGTCTGTAACTCTACCTCTCAAATAAATAAAATCTTAAAAAAAAAAAGAAAAGAAAAGAAAAAGAAATCAGTTTCCCAAACTCCCACTAGCTCGTAGTGGAACACGGCTTAAAACCAAACATAACAACAGACCATAAATGCTAATGAAGAAAGCCTAGCTTGAACATTTAAAAAGCATTCAGATTTTTGTGAGCTCCTTGGGTTATTCAGCATGAACAGTCTTCAAGGTAAAATCACAAATTTCCCGAGATCTCCTGCATATATTTGAGGAAAAGGATAGGCATGACAACAGGAACAAGTTCTGGGGATTATTCTCCCGTAGGCAGTTCCCAGTGGGGGAAATTCATGTGACGGTGACTGATGAGGACACAAACACACCAGCCCACATTTTCCCCGGAACCTGGAACAGCTGTTCTCCGCCTCCACCGAAGGCATTCCAGTTTTGTCATGGAAAAAATGCGTTCTGTAAAAGGCATGGCCGTATAACACAATCTGTATTAACTTACCTGCCTACTGATTCCCACAACTATGCTCACTATAAATACAGCCACTCAAGCTTAAATGAGTTACAATGACATGGCAGCGGATGAAAATTTCTCTCACTCCGTCACTCCACTCTTTGTTGCTGGCCTTTCAAGTAAATGTCTTTTTGACATGGCAGAAGTCGAACCTCAGATCACATACCCAGATTCAAAATCCTTGTGCTCTATCTCTCCACATTCCTGTGTGTGATTTCCAAAATGAGTATTTGAGTTTTTAGTCCATAATATTTTGCCCCCTAAGTATCCATTCTGCAGATAATACCTTTTTCTTTTTTAATTTGAAAGAAAAACAGAGAGCTCCCAGCCACTGGTTCACTCCCCCAAATACCTGCCATGTCCAGGGCTGGGCCATGCTGAAGCCAGGAGTGGGGAACTCAATGAAGCCCACTGTATGCATGGCAGGGACCCGATTCCTTAAGCCATCAGCAGGAAGCTGGCATTGGGAGCAGAGCCACAGCTCCACCCTGAGCACTCTGAAAGGGAATACAGGTTCCCTTGTGCCATCTTACCTGACAGGCCAAATACTTATGAAAAAGAAGGTCCCTCCTGAACAAGATAGGAGTGAGCATAGGGAAAAAGCCCATCAAGCTTAATAAGCTTCTTAACCTAGGATGCAGACAGGAAAAGAAAAAGTGGGATGAGGGCAGAAGTACAGGAGAGGAGAGAAGCAAGAAGCAAGACTGGCCCAGTCCATCTCAGCATTGGTGCCTGACTGTGTAACAAGTGTGTGACAGCTGGCTCTGTAAATGGCTTTGGGGCTGTATTCTGGAAATGACAGATAAGAATCATTCCTAGAAATGACAAAACTCTCAGCTGTCTCATAGCTCCTTAATAATGCTCTTTGAATTCCACAGCCACTTAAGAACTTAGATTTCTTTAAATGGAAAAAAGAAAAAGATAGTATTCGTTGTACAAACATTAAATTTTTGGAGCTAATCCATCAACAGTTGGTAGCTAATAATACCCCTTCCCTAGAAAGAAGAGTTATTTTATTTAAGTCTGAACTCCTAGGAAAAGAGGACACGTATCTAGCGTCAATTTAGATCAATGAATATTCAGATGCATACTGAGACAGGAGCGGTCCCTACCTTTAAAAACATTTAAGCCTCTGGATTGGTGGTTCTCAGAGTGGTGTCTTAGAATCCTGAAGTCCTGGGCCAGCGCCGCGGCTCAGTAGGCTAATCCTCCACCTAGTGGCGCCGGCACACCGGGTTCTAGTCCCGGTCGAGGCGCTGGATTCTGTCCCAGTTGCCCCTCTTCCAGGCCAGCTCTTTGCTGTGGCCAGGGAGTGCAGTGGAGGATGGCCCAAGTGCTTGGGCCCTGCACCCCATGGGAGACCAGGAGAAGCACCTGGCTCCTGCCTTCGGATCAGCGCAGTGCGCCAGCCATGGTGGCCATTGGAGGGTGAACCAACGGCAAAAGGAAGACCTTTGTCTCTGTCTCTCTCTCTCACTGTCCACTCTGCCTGTCTGTCACTCCCCCATTCGCGGAGGAACGACACAGGACCCTGCGCTGTTCTTTTGTCTGCTCGGCCCTTCCCGGGTTTGCTGGAGGTGGAGGGGTCGGCAGCCAACCCGGGAAGAACCAGCAGAAAACCCGGGAAGGGCCGAGCAGACAAAAGAACAGCGCAGGGTCCTGTGTCGTTCCTCCGCGAATGGGGGAGCGACATAATGGTGCCGTGACTCGGATATGAAACCTAGGAGGGAAGAAGCAGGAAAATACCAGAGAGAGACTAGGAAAGAGCCTAGGGAAAAGCCGGACGGAAAAAGTGCTGGAAGAAGTTAAGGTTGAAAGTGAAAGTGAACGCTAGAAGAAACTTAGACTTGGATATGGACTGCGGGGAGAAGCTAGGAGAAAGCTAAGGTTGAAAGCGAAAGTGAAAGCTAGAAGAAACAGACTCGGATACGGACTGTGGGGAGAAGCCAGGAGAAATGAGAGAGAAATATTGTTGGAACAAAGTTAGGAAATGTACCAGGTAGAGAAAAATACAAGCTAGGGAAAATGAAGCCGCGGGGGTAGGCTGAAGCAGAGACGTAAGCTAGGTTGGGATTCGTCAAGTCAGCCCGGGGAGCAAA